CGACATTAAAGTCCCCTGCAATGATCACCGGGAGGCCTGCAGGGATCTACTGGTGAATACCCTCAAAGAAATTCTGCCTCTCCCGTTCCGTATTTGGAGCATATACGCAGATAATGCAAAGAAGTTCCACCTCCAATGTAGCGGACCTCTGGTTGGTTGGCCTGTGAGACCAGCCCCTTGGCTTGTTCTCACAGGCCTGTATTCTATTCGGGGGCAATCCAGTCCAGTCCAGGCCGGTACCTCTGTCGGTACCAGCCAGTCCAGTCCAGTCCCGTCAGTCCGCTGGGGTATACCCCAGCCTGTGTCTGTTTTCGAGATCATTCTTCACTTGCACATTTTGGAGTACGTGCGTTGGAGTCTTGCATGGGGAGCTGCGTTGTGCCATCTCGCTCCCCCCTTCTTCCTCCATCTCCATCTCTATCACTAGCGGAGCACCACACCTGGTGGGTCCGCTACATTGGTATCGGAGCGGGAACGTTCCCCGCTCCCACCCACCACACCGCACAGCAGGGAAAAACAGCAAAACCCGACAGTCGGGTTTTCGGCTGTTTTCGGGCGAAAAAGGGCGAAAAAGCGGGAACAAGGTGCTGCAGCAGGAGATCGACACGTGGCGAAAAAAGGGAAGTCATCATGACGCATGCGTGGCGAAAAAAGGGAAGTCATCATGACCCGTGCGGGCAAGCGCCATGGCCAAGGCCGCCGCACACGCACATGCCCACGCGCCCACGCTGCCCTGCTGCCCCGCCCCGCCCCGCTCCTCTCCTGGATTATAGTAATCAAGATCCGGGATGCATGCTACCGCTGGGGTTTGAACCCAGGCACCTGCTGGCCATGCGCGTGCGTGTACCACCCTCATAACATAGTGGCCACAGTCTATGCATGGCCTTGTAGCACGGTGACCTCGTGTTGAAGAGGTGCTGGCTATTTACCTCCCCCCCCGCCGGCGAGCAGCGAGCAGCGGCCAGCGAGGCAGCAACGACAGAGGCTGCTATTTACCCCCCCCCCCCCGTGGCTGCTACTGCCTGTGCACATGGCCACCTGCAGTGCCACGTGGGACTTTGCTGTGGAATGAAGACCCCCCTGGTTAGGGGGCTGCGCCACTGCATTATTATTATTATTTTTTTTTACTCTCTCTCTACTGCTGTAGCAGCAGCTGCACAGCAGCTCAAGATTTCCCCCTGGCTAGGGGGCTGTGTGACTGCGGCAGTAGGGTGGCTGATCAAGATCTCAGCCAACCCTACATCATCATCATCACCCATCAGGGTATGCTTCCACAGCACACCCTGGATCTGCAGTGCTGCAACTAGGGGTTGATAAAGATCTCAGCTCCCCCTACATCCTCCAGTTGGTTGGCTGCAGCGAAGGCCAAGACCCTCCTGGTCTTGGTATACCTTGTGCCCTTGAAGACACCAAGGGCCAGGTATCATCTCTCTCTCCCCTTTTCTTGCCCCCACCTTCCACTGCCTCTCTCCCCTCCTCTTCTTACCTTCCCCACCCCACCTTTTCTCCCACTAACCACTATCCTACCCTCTTTTTCTTCATTTCTTTTCTTTTATCTCCTCCTTTCCTCTTAGATTCTTGATCACTCTCCATCTTTCCCCATCCTCTTTCTCTCCCATTCTCTCACCCTCCTCTCCCCCAACTGCCACCACATTATTCCCCCATTTTCCACTTGCATCTTTTTCCCTCTCTCACCTATTTCTTTCTTCTCTCCATCACTTTCTCATCCCCCCTTCCCCCCCTACTTCGATTTTTTTGTTTTTTTTTTTCTTTCTATCTCCCTTTTTTATTTATATATATATTTTTTTCCAAAAATTTGAAATATCTTCTTTCCCACCTTTTTTTCTTATTTTTTGATTTATTTTATTTATTTATTTATTTATTTTGAAAATTTGATTTTCTCTACGGCAACCCTAAATCTGATTAGGTGTTAGTCTTTCTTTCTTTTGGCACACGTTTTGACCCCGTGGGGGTAACGAAGTGCTGTCGAAATTTTCTGATTTTCCCTTACTTAGTCTTTTTCGGCACACTCCGACCCCATGGGGGTAACGAAATGCTGCCAAAATTTTTGACAAATTAGATACTTCATTCCTCCCCACCTTCTCATCCACTTATTTACTTCTTTATTTATTTATTTATTTATTATTTATTTATTTATTCTCTGAAATTTCTTTTTTTATTATTTGCGGCATCTCTAGTGTGCTCACCTTGGTCTCTCCCTTTCCCTTGGCACATTCTTGACCCTGTGGGGGGTAGGGAAATGCTGCCGAAAATTTCAAAAAAATAAATATTGTTTTCCCTTCACATCTTTTTACTTATTTCTTTAATTATTTTATTATTTATTTATTTCCTTATTTATTTTTATTTTCTCTCGAAATATCGCTGTTTATTTATTTTTCTCCCGCCTCCCCCCTCCTATGCTGGCTATTTTACTTTCTTGATTAGGTCACCGGTACCCTACCCTAACCACTTAAACTTCGGTTAGGATTTTTTTAGGGTTTTTGTAGGGTTTAGGGTTCTTCAACCCCGCCCTACTTCCCCGTCCTATTCGGGCACCCTGGACAGAAACCACCCCTCCCCCTTTGACGGCGCCCGCGCTATCCTTGCTAGCGTCGTTCGTCGCTTTCTACCGCGGACTTCCCCCTACGCCCTCCGCTCACGCGGACCTCTTCTGGCCCCCTCCAGTCCGGTCCGTCATCTCCCCATGGCCGACGGTGTGTCACACGCCGCCGACACGGCGATGACCACGGCATCGGGCTCCACACCCGTGCCGATGGACCAAGGCCATCAGCCCCAGGGGGATCTGCACACCCTCCTCACCTCCCTCCTTGCGCCCATCCAGGTGCAACTTGCAACCCATGCGCCCATCCAGGCGCAACTCGCGACCCTCGCGCCCTTACAGGCGTAGGTGGCGACCCTTGCCGCCGGCGTGCGGCAACTCCAAGATGCTGGTCGTCCTTCCTCTCCTTACCCTATCTCTTCTCCTGGCTCCCAGTCCGGGTCCCCCGTCCTCCAACAGGGTGGCCACGGTGGAGCTTCCTCCTCCGCTGCCCCCGACCCGCCCATCTTGGTGACCGTCCACGCCCCTAGCACGACGGCCGCCACGAGGCAAGTCCTCCCTCAGTCTACGGGCGCACCCGCCCAGACCTCGGTCACTACGACCACGGTACCACAACCCGCTACCATGGTCGCAGCTTTTCCGGGTGCCCCACTTCTCCCTCCTCTTCGCACGACCGCAGCGCCACCTGGCTCTACCTCTTGTGGGATGCCTCGTGCCGCTCATGCGTCTCCCCCTGCCACACCTCGCTCGACCTACGTTCGAGGTCTCGAGGACGAGATCGCCCAGCTCCGGACCGACCTCGCCCTCTCATGCCTTCAGCCACCCCCACCCTCACAGGTGGCCGCGCCTTTTGGCGCACCCCCTTCTTCCTCTATTCTTCCTTCCATGCAGGCTCGCTTCCCTCGCCCTGCACCCTACCCATCCCCATCCTACCTCCTCCCCATCCCCTCGGTTGCTGCGACCTCTTCTACCGCAGCTCCCGCGCAGCCTGCCGCTGTTTCCCCCACCGCTCCACCATGCGGCCCGGGCGTACAGTCAGCTGTGCCTCCTCCTCCAGGACCTGCGCCGACTTATTCTGCCGTAGCGCAGTCCCCTGCTTCCCGTTCCCCTCGCCGCCAAAACGGTGGCGCACCACTCATCCGCTTGTCGGACATTGCCTTGTATGACGATACAGGCATACGCGTGTCTAGGTGGCTGCAGTCTGCCACCCGCACGCTCCAACTCATGGGCGCCACACCCGACACGTGGGTGGGTCACCTCTCCACGCGCCTACGTGGCGGTACTTTCGAGGCCTGGGAGGATTTCTACGCGTACTCCCTTCGTGAGGGTCGGACCACGACCTTCATGGATTTCCAGGTGTTCCTCGAGGGTCGCTTCGGAGCTCGATACGACGTGACTGACGCCTTCGAGCGTGTCGTCACTACACTCTGGTCCGGCTCTGGTGGCGCTGCCGCTCTGGATCGCCACATCCAGGTCTTTCAGGACGCCCGCCTCACTTGTGACGTGGCGTTCCTTCCCGAGGCTGCCCTTATCGATCGTTTCTTGGTCAGCCTTCCGCTCGAGTACCGCTCCGAGCTATAGCGGTACGAGTTCACATCGGCCCCGCACACTTACGAGGCCGCCAAGGACCACTAGCGGATGCGAGCCCGTCTTCACCCCGCCTCTCCTCCCAGCTTCAGCGCACGTGCTACGCCTCCTCCTCTCACGGCACTTCCCAGCGCCGTTCCCCTTTCTGCGGTCGCCCCCGCCGTTCCACGCAGCTGGGCTGCCACTTCTCGCGCCGCTTCAACACGCTCGAGTATCGTGAGCAGGACGCTGGTGCCCCGCTGTCACCAGAGGGTGACCATAGTGTCGACCTCGACCTCGGCGAGGTCGTCCACCACCACCTGGAGGACCCTACTCTCCCTATGGCTGAGCTCCTCCAGCTCATCCTTTCCACCCTTTCCCGGGCACGCAGCCGCCCCGGTCACGCTGGTGCGTCGCCCCCCGAGGTCCCTCAAGAGGACCTCCCTCAGGGCTTCGTCCCTCCTCGCGGTGTCCTTTCCACTGAGGAGCGCGCGACTATTCTGGGTCGGCGTGGGTGTTTGCGATGCCGCTTGGACGGTCATACCTCCTCACGGTGCCCTTACTCTACCGCCCTCGACCGCCACTACGCTGACCTTTCCCGCCAGCGTCGTGCGTCGTCCCCCCCCGACGCCTCTCATCCCCACGGCGCCTCCTAGCCACGGTGCAGTGTACACCTGCGCCCTCCTCAGTAGTGGGCTTTTCGACATCTCCGTCGCAGTTCGCCCCTCTCGCTATTGGAGTTGAGGTATCGCAGGATTCGACAGATTGTACTCAGCCCTCTGTCGCAGTACCATCTGCACCTCCGCAGACCACCGTCTCCCCTCCTTCCCCGCCGCGACTACCGACGCGTCGAGCCATTCGCTCAGCCCGTTGCAGCGAGCAGCTTGCTACTCGCGAGGACGTTGTGTCCTCTCTTCTGGACTTGAGCATGCTCCAGGCTCGTCAGGAGCGACTCACCCTCCATGTCGCTGCACTGCGTCGCCTTCTCGCCATCCTCTCTGACCCTGATCGCACCCTCCCGATCATCCCAGTACGACTCGGGACCTTCACGAGGGTGTACCCAGCACTGTGGGATTCTGGTTCTCACGACGACTTCACTCACCCACGTGTGGTGAAAGAAACCCGCTTACCCACGACAGGGTCTCCGACTCCCATCTCTGTTACCTTAGGAGATGATAAGACCCAACGCTTCTTCGATCAGACGGTCACCGACCTCCCTTTCTTCCTCACTCTCGAGCTGACTGATCGTTCCTCGGCGTCTCGTCGCCACCGCTCCTCTGCACATTTCGATGTGATGAAAACGGGGTACGACTTCATTCTCGGCACTCCGTGGTCTCGCCGATTCCGCAGCACCGAGGCCGATTGGGCGACCAACACTCTCGTTCTCAAAACGAAGTGTGGACAGACGTATCGCGTACCTTTCGTAGGTACCACCGCGACACCGCCCCCCGATCCTCCTCCCCCGGAGCCTTCCGTGCCCACACCATCTCCTTCTATCACTGTCACCTCGCCTCGGCAGTTCGCTCACTTCATCCGACAGGACGACGTCACCTTCTTTATGGTGAACGTGACAGATCTCTTACACTATGACCCACCCTATCCCGACGCCGAGCTCATCCCTCTCGAGCAAGACCCTCCTTCCATCTCCTTGGCTCCCATCTCTACTTCCGTCCCTCCGCCGTCCGTCGAGTCCACCCTGCCGTCGCGCGCTGACGCTGACGCTGAGGAACTCGCACGATATACAGCCGACTTGGAGCCCGCAGTTCGTGACCTCATTCGAGAGTACCACGACGTTTTCCCATCGCTGTTCTCGTACGCTGGCATCCCACCGATGCGCGACGTCGAACACTCCATCCAGCTTGTGCCTGACTATTGTGTTCACCACCAGGCACCCTACAGACTCTCGATCCTCGAGGTCACCGAACTCAAGCGTCAGCTTGAGGAGCTCCTGAGACTGGGTTTCATTAAACCCAGCAACTCCCCGTGGGGTGCACCCGTCCTCTTTGCTCGCAAAGCGGATGGAACTCTCCGTCTCTGTATCGACTATCGCGGCCTCAACCGCTACACGGTTAAGAACAACTACCCAATGCCTCTTTCCGACGAGCTGTTCGACCGCCTAGCAGGCAACCGCTTCTTTACGAAGATTGATCTTCGTAGCGGTTACCATCAGATCCGCGTCGCTGCAGCCGACCAGCCGAAGACAGCGTTCCGATCGCGCTTCGGCTACTACGAGTTTACGGTGATGCCATTCGGCCTCACCAATGCACCCGCCACCTTCCAGAGGGCGATGAACGACATCTTCAGGGACATCCTGGAGCAGTACGTTCTCGTCTACCTCGACGATATCCTGGTCTACAGTCGTACCCTTGAGGAGCACTTAAGGCACCTCCGCGGCGTCCTTGACCGCTTGCGCAGACATGGCTTCTACGCCAAGCTGAGCAAGTGCCGCTTTGCCCAGCACAAAGTGGATTTCCTAGGACACTACGTGTCTAACCAGGGTTTCCACATGGACGACGCGAAGATCACTGCTATTGCGGAGTGGCCCGCTCCCACATCCGCCAAGCAGCTTCGCAGCTTCCTAGGCCTGACCATCAACTATAGTAATTTCATCCGGGGATACGCGAGGTATTCCTACGTCCTTATCTCCACCCTCCTCCGGAAGAACCCACCCTGGGCTTGGACACCCCTCTACGAGGACGCCTTCCGTGCCCTCAAGAAGGCGGTGACATGCGCACCGGTTCTTCACCTACCCGATTTTGATCGCCCTTTTATCCTTACCACCGATGCGTCAGACTTTGTTGTAGGAGCAAAGCTTTCTCAGGTCTTCCCCTCCTCTCCTGATTCCTCTCATCCTCGTATCCCTCGCTTCCCACCACCTACCCCTACCACTACTTCCCGACTGACGCCTACTCGTCCAGCTACTGACGAGTCTTCTATTGACTATTCTCCTACCATCGTCGAGGACGGCACTGTCGAGTCTCGCTCAGGTGATTGTCCGATAGCTTTCTACTCCCGTCAGCTCCTGCCCGCCGAGATAAACTACACTGCTGATGAACGTGAGGTTCTCGCAGTAGTTTATGCCGCTCGGCACTTGCGTCACTACCTGCACGGGGCACTATTCACGGTGCGTACGGACAACTCTGTTGTCCAGGCTTTTCTGACAAAATTGAAGCTCACTCCTCGACAGGCTCGCTGGTGGCGCGACCTATCCGAGTTTAGTTTCACCACCGAGCACATCAAGGGTGAGACTAATCGGGTCGCAGATGCCTTATCCCGACGCCCTGACCACGACCAGGAGCAGATCCCGCTCTCTTCCATCTTGGTCACCACCATCCACCACTCGGTGATCGACGAGTTTCGCACTTAGTACCGCCACTGCCTCGACTATCGCGACATCCACGCAACCCTTCGGAGTGGCAAGACCGTCCCGAACTACTCTCTCGGGGACAACGGTCTCGTGTACTGGCAGGGTTTACAGGGCACCAGAGAGCCCCGTATTTTCGTTCCCTCCACAGGACAGCTACGTGTCCGAGTACTAGCAGAGTTCCGTGACCAGGCAACTGCCAGTCATATGGGCTTACACAAGACGTTGGCTCGTGTGAGCCGCCTGTACGTCTGGCCGAAGCGCAATGACTTTGTGAAGGACTACGTCGCAGAGTGTCCCACCTCTCAGGAGGTGAACATTGCGAACCACCTGCCTTATGGTTTGCTCCAGCCTCTTCCTATCCCCGAGGGTCGTTGGCAGTCCATCTCGATGGACTTTATCGGTCCCCTTCGTCCTCCGACCCCTCGCGGTCATGATGCTATCCTGGTCGTCGTCGACCTCTTCACGAAGCGTGCATGCTTTGTTCCGTGCCGCTATGCCATCAGTGCATGTGAGGTCGCCGACATCGTGTTTGACCGAGTCGTGCGTGACCACGGTTTACCTCTGAGCATCATATCTGACCGTGACCTGCGCTTTACCAGCCGATTCTGGCGACGACTCCATGAGGTGTATGGCACTCAGCTCCGCTTCTCCTCGTCTTACCATCCTCAGACTGATGGTCAGACAGAGATTACGAACAGGACACTCGGAGATATTCTCCGAAAGATTGTTCGTGACGACTAGCAGTGGGATCTCCATCTTGCCCACGCGGAAATAGCCTACAACCACGCCATCTCGCCAGCCAGGGGGATGTCGCCTTACTATTGCGACCTCGGCTATCACCCTCGTGTTCCCGCGGACTTCCTCCGACCGTCACAGATGCACCCCGACACGAGTTGTCCCGCGTTGGATGATTGGGTTGCACACATGACGTCGATCATGAAGACCGCACATGAGCACATAGCCGCTTCCCAGACCCGAATGGCAGCACATGCGAACCGATCGAGGATGGATCACCCATTCAAAGTCGGTGATGATGTGCTTATCGACGCCCGCCACTTACAGCTCGAAGCGGACACGCTTCGCAAGTTTCGGCGTCGCTTCTTTGGACCATGCCGCATCCTCCAGACCGTCAGTTTTGATACGACATCTAGCCCGGTCAGCTTCCGTGTGAAGCTGCCCGACTACCTACGCCAGACTCGTGTGCACGATGTCTACCACGTCTCGTTACTGCGTCCTTACCGTATACCATCTGAGCATTTCGCCGGACGACCATACGAGCGCCCTCCACCCATCATGGTAGATGGCCACGAGGAGTTCCTCGTTTCAGACATCATTGGTCGTCGAGTCACCAACGACAACCCTCCCCACGTCGAGTATCTCGTACGTTGGAAGGGTTACCCTGATGAGGAGGCTACCTTGGAGCCCCTTGAGCACTTGCAGCACGCTTGCATGTTGGTGCGTGCCTATGACCGTGCTCGTCGTGCTGGGTTCACTGCTCCTCCTTAGCCCACTGACCCTCCTCCTTCTCCCTTGGCTGAGGAGACCGCTGAAGTCGAGCCTGCTCCATCTGAGGCAGACCTTCAGCAGCAGCCGGATGCTTCTGAGCGTCCACAGTGCACTCGTCGTCGTTCTGCTCGATACGACGATTGACTGTGACTTACCTTCCCACGTCTTTGACTTCTCCGTACTCCATCCACTCCAGTTTTGCTACTTCAGCTCGTCGACGTTGCGGCTCTTCCTCGACGGCATTCCGGACTTCTCATGGCGGACGTCATCGGCAACTTCACGGACTTCGTCACGATCAGCTCTGCCTACTTCAGACGTCGTCACTCTCTTATCACTTTACCTTGTACAGTACTCTTGTTGTGTCGCATGATGGTCTCCCTTTAGCCTGGTTGCTCTGAGTTGGGCTCTCCCTTGGTATACGCTGTCGGCCCGAATACCCTTACAAGGGTATTTGGGCACATATTTGTAGCTGACAGGAAGAGTGCGCCTGACGATATCTGGGGGCGCGTCCCGTTTTGCATTGATTGGAGAGTGTGTGGGCGTGCATTTGTGGGCACGTGTTAATTTGACCGGGTGATTGGTCAGGGAGGGCTATGAGATGCCGATAGGATAAGTAAGTGTCGGACTAGAATCTCCGGGACGGTCGCAGCCTCGCCCATACGGGCAAATTTACGGGCAGCATAGAGTTGACCAAGTAAGGCTGTGACTGGAGGGGGGATAGTGCCTGATTTGTTAGAGGCCGACATTCAGAGCGGCGCCGTGTGAAATGTTCACGGACACCGGGTTGACCGGGCCTCGTCGGTGGGGGCCGCCGCTAATGTCAAGTAAGAATGGCACCGACGGGCGAGGTTCCTCCGGGGGAAGCGGTAGTAAAAGGGCCGGCCGCGGCAGGCTACGAGAGCCTCGGGCCGTGACCCTGGCATAGAGGGGCGATACGCGTGGTGAGTCAAGCTGCGCCTGCCCACGAAGCAGCGGAATGCGACAGTACGGGGGCCTGAGGGTGAGGAGTATACCAAGTGGTGGCTTTGGCACACCCATATGGGCCTGGGCACGCAGCAGATACTCTTCATGTGGAGGGCTGCGGCTATTGCAACTAGGTTGGGGCTTAGCCCTATAGGTTATGTCATTGGGTTTTTGCCAGGCGGATCTTGGGATTGAGGCCAGCAGTGAACAGTGGAGCTGCGGAGGAGCGCTACGGAGTGAACTAAGGGGTTGAGGGTCCGGTGGGACTATTAGTTTTTGCGAGGGGTCCGACGACGGGGCCGCAAGGAAGGGCCGAGGACCAGATGCCAACGGGCCCCCTCCCCCAGCCGCTGTTTAGTATTAGTACTATTTCATTGTGAGTTTATTAATTCTAAAAATTTTATTCTTCTTACTGTTTTTTTTTTTTGGTTGTTATTATTATTTCTATTATTGGGGCGAGGCTGGTACCGGTCTCGAGACCGGCGGTGTACCCAAAAGCTTCTTAGTTCAGTGGATACACCACTGAACTGTCGAAGTACAGACCTGTGTACAGGACCAGATGGTGCGGCTGCCCTGAGGCAGCAGACCAGCGGTCCTGGACCTCTGCCCCTGAAGTTTAAAATTGGAACGATACGGTGAAGATTAGCATGACCTCTGCGCAGGGGCGACACGTATACAGTAGGGGGAGAACCTGACACTTTTTGCTTGTTGGGACGTACAGGGTGCTGCTGCTGCGGCTGCGCGACCTCGTGACCAGGCTGCTCACGGGGTGCTGTGCTATAGGGACAGCGGAGGGGTGGACGGTGGTGGAACGAAGGCAAGCAGGAGAGGAGTGAGTCATGGCGCGACTCCACGCTTGGTGCATCTAGAACGGGAAGGAAGTAACGCAGAGTGGGATTGAAGTGCCCGAGAGAGGGGCGAGACCTAGAAAAAAAAATAAATAAAGAGAGCACGAATCGGGACGGGATACTGCGCGAGGTGCATTCGAAGGTGAAGGAGAAGGAGAGCTGGCTATGAGAGACGAGGGAACGAACGATCTCATCAATTCTTGACGGATTCAGATAGGGGGAGACATTAGGCAGGGGCTTTTAGGTGAGGCGAACAGGAGTGTGGGGTCAGTTCGGGTAGGAAGTGAGAAGACTGAGAGTAATAGAAAAAAGGGGTCGCGCGGAGCTATGGAGGAAACGAAAACGAAGGAGAGGGGGAAAAGGGCGGTGCTCACTCGTTAATGGGCGGTTTTGGGCAAGGGAGGAGTCAAATCGGGGGTTTTGAGGCGATGCGAACCAAATGGCCGCGCCAGAATTTCAGTTTGGGGCTTAGAATAAGCGCTGACAGCGTGAGGAGCTGCGCGAACTGCCATGGCAGAGTGACGGAAGGAGGAGGCGTTGAGGAAATAGCGAAAGTCCTTGGTTGATTCTGACGGGCTAAGTTGCTGCGCCGAGGTTTCCAGGCATCACGAGTTGGTCGCCGATGTCGGATTCCGTTTGGAAAGCTTGGTTTGGGTGCTGCCGCAAACGGGAGCTGCGCGAGATGGGATTTAGAGCTAACAGTGAGTAGTGAACCTTCCCGAATTTTTGGGGAAGATTCGCTCTGAATCTGGCCGTGGGGACGACCGGATGCATAACACAAAAGTGAAAAAGAATGGAGGGAGGCGCTCTTACCTGGGCTAAACCCTTCAGCTTCTTGCGAAGGAGTCACCCTCGATTGACATGTTAGGCCAGCCGTAGCTGCTACTCGCCGAGATTGTCTTCATGGAGTTCCCTGTTCCCCCAGCCGGCGTAGTGCGGTGATCAGTCTCACCGTTTGGGCACTCGTTCTCTGCCTACAGCTGACCTTAGTTATGGCAGAGGAACGTGGCCGGGTTGACGCCCAGGTACATCTGTGGTGCAGGTGGGAGCAGGCGTAAAACGGAGGGTGTCGGGATAGAAGTGTGACGAAGGACTTACCCTTCAGCTGATCTACGGACAGCCTTAGAGGTGGCAGCGGAAGGCCGCTGCACGCGTCCGCCTAGCCACCGTCAGCGGATCCATCTTCGGATCGCGCGGTCAGTGAGCAAGGTAGGAAGGCCATTACCCCCTGTCGAAGTTGGTTATTGATTGTATGTAGCAAGGTAAGGCGTCAAGAGACAGTCATCTGGACGTTATCCCACGTGGCCATCGTAATCTAGGCCGTACCAAGACGTGGCGGTCTCCGGAGCACCGGCTTCACTGGCACCTTCTATTGCGGGATTTTTTGTCGCTGCATACTGAACTGATCGGCGGAGACACCCTGCCTACCAAGGACGTGGTGATCGGCTGCTCAATCTCCCTCGTCGTGTCACTCGGAGTGGGTTGCTCCGCCTGAGGCTGCCCGTGCGTTTGAGTCTGATAACTCGCTGCCTATACAAGGCTGCACGAATCTGACTGCGCTTCCGACCAGGTGCATTGGACAAAGAGTGGGGAGAGGAGAGGACGACAGAGAAAAGCATGAGGAGGAGTAGGAGCAGAGACTTACCTAGTTAGGATGTATGTGTGGGCGTCAGTTGCTGCTGCTGACGTGGACCTGATGCTTTCTGAACAGCTCACCTGGTTCGGGTGGTAGAGTATAAGGCAGTTGACAGCCAGGTGCATAAGGGGAGTGAAGGAGATAACTGCAAGCATGTGTTTTGCAAGCCGGAGTGAGGTAGACCTGATGTTACCGGAATAGCTCACCAGAAGCCTCGGCGAAGGGGCTACAGGATCAGCATCTTCATATACTTCAGTTATTGTTGTCTGTGGGTTGGGCGGCCGGTGCTGCATTTTGACCGGAGCCTACTACTGAGCCAGTGCTATGATCCACTGTGTTTACGGAGGGAGGGGGCAGAAGTACCTACCTGTCTAACCGGACTGACGGTGTCAGAAAGGTCAGAAGTCTAGCTGCGGCGCCGGACTACAGACAGAAGACCAGCAAGGGGACCAGTGCACACATCTCCCCATGTCTCAGTAGGGGGGGGGCCCTCCCGTTCGGTAAGGGGTGGTGCTCCGATTGCCTTGATGATTACCTTTCTCCAGCTTCGCGACTTCTAAACGGAGTTGAGCATACTGTGGGAGGGAATCATGAGAGGAAGGCTGCGCACTTACCTAGCAAGTACCTGGCCAGATTCCGGCGGAGGTAAGTCTGGCTGCTGTTGTTGACCAGGTACCGACCAACGCTGCTGTGAGTGGAGGGGTGCTAGGGGACCAGCACACTGCTGAGCCTGGTTGGGCAGCACTGCAGGCTTGCACCTTGAGCTGGAGGAGGCAGGCTCCTTGCTCCTATCAAAATGCGGTAACTCTTACAGTGCACCGGCTGCGGGCGTTGCGGTGCCTCTTGTGGCTTGAGGTCAGAGGAAAATAAGTACCTTTCTTAGTCTGAATGACTGTAAGCTAAACTGGCTGAGGCTGCCAGGATAACTTTTGGGTGGATTTATGAGGTCCCCGACCTCTTTTTTTTTTTTTTTTTTTTTTTTTGGAAAAAAACGAGCAATTCCATTCAAAAAATCAAATTTGAGGTCGGGAATTTCTCACAAACAACCCAGATCGACGCAGACTAGTGCTGGGAATCCTAAGCACCATTCATAGGGACTAGCCCCAACGACTCACTCGACACAAGGCTGTCTTGGTTTACCTCTTTTGGTTCCTGTTTAGCCTTGTCCTACCTTCCGAGTCCTTCCCTCTCCCCGTCTACAATTTATCTCGTGTCTCTCTCCCTACCCTCTTCCTTCTACCAGCTAGCCCCAACCTCCCACTATTAGTACCCTACATCTAAATCCATTCCCATGAGAAATGAAAGTTGAAAAAAACATTCCATAAAAAAAATCCTTCATATTTATAAATTATCATTCCAATGTTTATCCAATTCTAAAATTTTTAATTTAATTTGATAAGTCTCCGTCTAAATATGAGTTTTTCCTTCCAACTACATCTATTTGTTCAAGATGGAATGAAAGTCTGGACGAGTTTATGAAATGTTTTAATTAGACTTTCATTCTATTACAACAAATATCGTCTAATTTAGATTGGATTAACCTATTTATGACTGGAAATCCTTACTTAGAATGGCAGTCCAATTAAAATATTTCATGAACTTATCCAGACTTTCATTCCATCTTTAGCATGCAGTTCAAATAAGAAGGGATACCCCATTCTTGGAAGGAAAGTTTTCAAGTAAGATGAAAAATTTTAAAATTTGAATTACATTTTTTAAGATGAAATGTAAATTTAAAATTTATAATGTAATTTTACTCTAGAATGATTATTTAATTCTGGAAAATTTTTCTGTTGTGGTCCTATCCTTCCTCGCCCTGCTACTCCTGCATCCCGTAGTCACTCATTCCATCTATACGATGGCTGAAACCTAAATCGGTCCAACAACAGAAAAATTCCCACGAGAAATTAAAATTGAAAAAACATTTCATAAAAAATAAATTCGTCATATTTATAAATTATCATTCCAACGTTTGTCCAATTCTGAAATTTACAGTTTTATTTGATAAGTTCCTATCTAAGTATGAGCTTTCCCTTCCAACTACATCTATTTGTTCAAGACGGAATGAAAGTCTGAATGAAATATTTTACTTAAACTTTCATTCTACTACAACAAATATCTTCTAATTTAGATTGGATTAGCCTATTTATGACTGAAAATCCTTACCAAGAATGACAGTCCAATTAAAATATTTCATGAACTCATCCAGACTTTCATTCCATGTCTAATATGCAGTTCAAATAAGAAGGGATACCCCATTTTTCGAAGGAAAGTTTTCAAGTAAGACAATTTTTTTAAAAATTGGAATGACATTTTTTTAGATGGAATGAAAATTTAAAATTTAGAATGTAATTTTACTATAGAATGATTATTTAATTTTGAAATTTTTTTCTGTTGAAGTCACCGTAGCCCTCTCTTACCCCACTTCCCTCCTGCCTTCCTACTACGGAAAAGAACCGAGTGTTCTGGTTTATCCCAGACTTCTCCTAATTTAACCAGTCTGCAAGTTTCATCTTCCCTTCCTCTTCGATTGTAGTCAGTTTCCCGTTGATCGCCCATGTTTTTTTGAACCAAATTTGGTCAGCCCTTCGGTTCAGACTGCCTGCCGCTTTCCGCTTCCAGTCTGCCAGAATGATTCTTCGTGCCATTTGATCGAAGGTAGCTTTGATTTCAGGATCTGGCATAATCTTCCCTTGAAACAAACTTCTGTTTTGGTCCGTCCACACGATCCAAAAGCCTATTGCTCTAAACGCCTGAGCCACATATCCCCAGCCCTTCTCCAAACAAAGATTTTGCGGGACCCCCCCAGCAGAACCCATTCCTTATTCAACTCTAATGCATCTTTTCATATGATCTTCCAGTGGTCTGCCCACCATTTTCAAATTCTGGTTGTCGCCGGGCAGTCCCACCAGATGTGCAACATTGATTCAAACCTGCAGAGGCATCGCTTGCATTGCGGATCAACTTGCAACCCTCGTGACAGGAGCCAAACTGCAGACGGAGTGGCCAGCAGGGAGGCCAACCAAAGTATTGTCGCTGCTCTGGGGTTCGGGGCATTCGCCAGCTGTGTCCAACACTGCTTCAAAGTCCATATTACCTTCTCTTCTTCCACCCCATAAACCTGGGACCACCTCTCAACAGCTACCGTTGACGGGGTTCGCTTCTTCTTCTGTACCATGTAGCCAAGTTCCAATGAATTGTCCTTCGGTATCACATTCTCCCCATTCGGACCCTGTCCCCTCCAGGCCCATTGCTTTGGATCTGCTATGAGATTTGTAATTGCTTCCCCTGCTTGTCATCCATCCTTTCCAGCACCCGAACTTCCCCCGTATGTCCCTGGGGTACAGTGACTATCTGACATGGTCCTTCCTCCACTACCAGTTCAGATTTGGACCCGTCTCGAAGTTTTCACTTTTGAAACTTCACTCCTCCTTCTGGGGGTAACTCCATTAGTTTCAAGTACTTCTTTTCTTCG